CCACAGAAGAGGATGTGCCGTTTGTAATCCGCTTCACTCTGTGTTTTCCAGGGCACAGAGCTATCCATCTTGGGTAATGGAGTTTTAGTGACTGGAATACTTTCTCCTACAGAAAATAAGCATCTCATTTTAATCTTCACTCATTTAAATTATGCATATGCTCACTAATTACATGGTAGATGTTTTTCTGTGAGTCTGCCATGTGGCAGGGACAACATTAGGTATTGGGAATACACGGAGAAACATAGTTCATATTTTGAAGAGGTTCATAGTCCAGAGAAGGACACAGACATGTACACAAATAAGTATAATGCAGTACTACGCATATTATGAGTATTGTAAAATCAAACATGGATGCTAAAATAGGCTGGAAATAGCCATGTAAGGAATAGCGAGCTGTGCAGTCTAGAATGTGGAGTGTTGGGAATCAAGGGCCACAAGAGCTATGTAGGAGCCAAAGCATGGAGGGCCCTAAGTACCTATGTTTCAGCGTTTAAATGGTTTTCTACTGGCACTAGTGGCAGAAGGTGGATGGGGAGATGTTTAACTGTTTTATTCAGGAGAGTGTATCATATTTATGTATAAGAGTGCACTCTGTCTGCAGCACAGGGAATGAATTAAAGTCTAGCAAGGTTAGAGGCTGGACATCCAATTGGTAACTGATCACAAGAGTTCCCACTGAGGCAGATGAAGTCTGAACTATGGCAGCTGGCAGAGGGAGTAGAAAGAAACTGCTGGATTTGAGAAATAAGAAAGTAAAAAGCCACAAAATTTAGGAGAGATTTTTATATTGGCAGATTATAGGGACAGAGGAATTTAAAGTGGCTTCCTGGTTTCTGACTTGGGCAAATGAGCAAAGGGTGGCATTAGTTATCGATACAGGGGATAAGAAAGAGAAGGACGGGTTGCCTGTTGGTCACTGTGAGCTGGAGGTGCCTTGTGGAATGACCGAGCTGAGATGCCTTGTAGTCAGTCAGAAATTTATTTGGGGGTGGAGCTCAGGAGAGAGGTTTGACCAGCGATGGTTATTTAGAGTTCATCACCTTATGGATGATAATTAAGGCAATGAAAAGAGACAAGATTACGTGGGTGAAAAGAGAACAGGACCAGGACATAGCCCTGAGACGCAGCAACAATCAAGGAGATGGGGGGAGAGGAACAGCACAGGAAGCTAAACTGTGCAGTTGGTGGTAGAAGAACTTGGAGAGACAGCGTTGTCTTGGAAAGTTGAGGAGAAGAGAGTTTTTCGAAGGAAGAGATGGAAATAATAGTCAAAATCAGCACAGAGGTCAATCAAAAAATTTAAAGAATCCATTGGATTTGGCAATTGAGATATTAGTGACTTTTGTCAGTGCAGGGGNGTATTTGGTTAAAAGGTAGGTTGGTATTTCTCTCAGGGAAGTATAATGATGAAGAGCTTGGACTGGGTTAAAACACCAGATTGTGACCTGGGCTAATTATTTAATCCCTCTAAACACCAGAGTTTTTATCTGTAACATAGTTATAATCATATAGGTTTGTCGTGAAGATTAAAAGAGATAACACAAATAAAGTGCTGAATTTAATATCTAGCATAGAATAAAAACTGAAATAATGATAATTACTTATTATTATTTATTTTGTATTTGAATTCTTGTCACAATTATCTCTCCCACCATTTTTTTTTCCTAAGTCCAAGGATGATATGATCTCATCAATAAAATGCCTTTCCTTATGATGTTAGTTTGATTGCAAAATAGTATTGAAATGGTGGCAAGAGCCATGTTAGCTTTCTGTTCTTGGTAGATGTCTCTGATATTCCAATAATTATATAATGCAGCTATGATCCCATTAATTCTCTGCTATCAGAAACCTTCAATCTACTGTTTAATGGGTACAGATTTTATGTTTGGAAAGATGAAAAAAGTTCTGGAGATGGATGGTGGCGATGGTTGCACAACAATATGAATATACTTAAAGCCACTTAAAAATGGTTTTAAATGGTAAGTTTTATGTTATGTATATTTTACCCCAATAAAAAAATTAAGGAAAGACAACAATAAAAAATAAAAATTAAAACCTTCAATGGCTTCCCACTACCTAAAGAGTATGTAAAACTTTCTTAGTCAGACATTCAAGGTCTACAAACACCTTCTCCCATTACTAATGTGCTGCTCTGGTCAGAACCACCCTCCATCGCTCTCCTGACTCTAT